GTCTCTTCATTTGGATCCTCCTCCAGTAACACTGCTGGAGAATATGGAGGAGAGAGAGGCTGCTGAGTTTTGAGTTATGCCTGACTCATGCCTATAATTTTCACAAGTGCTTTTGTAACACAAAAAGATGGGGAGGGAAGGGGGAAGGGGGGAAGAGAGGGAGGGAGGGAGGGAGGGAGAGAAAATTAGGCTTTGTTAACATTGAGAAAGTTATCAAGACAGACAGAAAAGAGACTGCAAAAGGCTGGACCAAGAGTGGTGGTAATGTAAAGAGACAAAGCAAAAGGGCCATAAAAAACCATAGAGGGAGAGAGAAAACAGACCAGGAACAAGTGAAGGTGAAAGGAAAGGTAAACACATAATGACAGAATGAGACTAGTTTAAAAAGACGGCTAGATAGAATCCAGATTCACACACTTAATCACTAAAAAAAAAGAAAAGACGAGAAAACAGAAGGGAGAAAAACAACAGGAAAAATATAGGAAATATGGGCATGTATATTCACACAAAAATAAAAAGGAGAGAGACTTACAGATTACAGGAATCTGACTTCATCCTTACTGCCTTTGTTCTTTAAATATGTTTTTCACTTAGTAACTGCATTTCCTTCCTGAAAAAGCTATTGGAAAAAGCTGACTGTTGGCTCAGGAGAAGCTCAGATGAATTATTGCTCTTAATATCAACAATGATTTTGCCTTCTTCACTTTCAGTTAAACTCGTTAATGAAACTGGTGGCCTATCTGCTCCCTCTACAGAACGGCTACTCCTTTCAGGTCAGGTGTCATGAAGGAGAAGAAAGAAGGAAAGGAAACATACCAAAAAATGTTTCTGGATGCATCTGGATTCTGTCATGTTTTACAAACTTTCTTAAGATAATATCATGTTTATGGTGTTTTGAAAACACCAGCAGAAAAACAAGAAAGTTAGCAGAAAACTCACAGCAGGACTTCATTTGAAAATTATTGGAATAAAGCAAAGTCTATATACAAGTGAAGTGAGAGTAGAACATGTGAGTTAAACTATTTTTCCCAAATGGCTTCTGATCTGGCTTTTCTTTACTGACATGTAGACAGTTGGGGAAAAAAGTCCAGAGACTAGCCTTCTCTGAAAACTGAATCTTGGCACAATGAACTTTAGTCTCACTAATAATCATGTCTTCATCTGATCATGAAATGAATAATGCTGGGCAACAAGGAATGATAATTTCTTCTGCTTTCAAAGGAACATAATGCTGTACAATTTCAGAGGCAGACAGCCTCTGTGAAAAACAAATAGAACCTGTTTAAGAAGGAAATGGAGCATATTCACTCGAGGACAGGGTGTGCGCATGCAAAACGGAATGAGAAACCACAGACAAGATAATCCTCTTGTTTTATTTGAGATGCATTTAAACAAAACATGAGATCAATAAATATGAAGATTATCACAAGGTTTTAACCATCTGGAGCATCTAGATAATCAGAAAACAAGCTCTCTTTATCCATGTCCTCTTCTATGGGATTTCTGTGATTTCCAGCAGATTTGAGAAAGAATTCAGGCAGATATAGTTGGGACCTTCAGTTCCAGGGTAGCACATACTAATTACTTTCGTTTGTTAATTAAACCTGCGTGGCTCAAATAAAGTATCCTGCTGTTTGCCAATAAATTTAATTAGCCTAAAGGGAGAGTGTCTCTCCACACAGCTATTTAAAATTGTCACTTTCCACTTACTTGGGCTTCCCCTCCTTTTTTTCTGTTCCTCCTTTAGACTTTAATTTATGCTCATTTGGCAACCCTTTGCATATCCCAAGTCCACTGCCCTGGCTGGTATGTACAATGACCTCCACTTTGGCAATGTCTCTGGGGACATTTGAAGCTGAAAAGAGGGCAGTTTTACCATTTTAAAGCTAAAGAGCAGGCTTGATGCTTGAGGTGTAACTGATTCGGGGTGTAATTAGATGTTACAAAAGGCACAAAGCTGCTACCTCTTTCTCTGTCTCTTTCACACTCTTCCTTGTAATGTCTACAAAAGTGTGATGTGATGACATCATGCTATATATTTCCTCATTCCCACTGCAATCGCTAGATATCACTTCTGGGGGAAGGGCAGTGCAGAATATGACAACATGATATTCCACACAATGTTAGATGCCAGAACAGCAACAACTCAGTGACTGTGATAATATTCTAGTTCCAAAGTCACATAATGGGCAGAGAAGGGAGCTTCAATACTTTCTGAATCATACACAAACCAACAACACTATTCAGCCAAAGTTTGGACATTATTTGAAGAGGGATGAGCTTTTCTGAAAGGAAAAAAAATATTTTCAGAAGCTTTTGTTTCAATGTAAAACATTTCAATTGGTTAGTAAAAATGTTTATTTAATATTTTCAACAATGTCATGCAATGTCCTAGATAGGCATAGCACTTAAATTTTATGTGGAACAATTTCATATTGTTCACTTTTCTCCTGGATTCCTGAACTGGATTCCCATTATTTTAGCCCTCTATGTAGCTAACAGATTTAACAACAAAATCAGTGATCTTAAAAGTGGAATAGTTTCAATTTATTCACAGAAATGTTCTCACCCTATCCCTTTCTCAGTAAGCCTTTGAAACCTTGACTAACTGAACATGGTGAGGATTCAGACTTCTCCCTTTTCCTGTGCTGATTCTGGGGATCGTCATAAAGTACCCAGGCCAATTTGAAACCTTTTATTCCAGCTTTGTACTCGTACTCAAATAATTCTCTGCCTCCAATAACTTGATCCTAACCCTTACAAAATCATCAGTCCAATGTTGAAGATGATTTTAAGGCTGATTACCTTTTTTATCTAAGTCTATTGTGAAATTCAAAACAGAATAATACATTCTGATAAACTTAAAGCTGAGATTGTGGTCCTCCTAACTAAAATATGCAGCTTGATTCTACTTGGCCTGGGTCACTGAAGACTGGAAGGTGATCAGCATAATTCAAATTGTTAAGAATGGCTCATAGGAGATCCAGGAAATTTTAGGTCTGTCGGTTTAATATCTGTTCTGGGGAACATATTTGAAACTGCTATTAAAGATAAAATTACCAAGCATTTGGAGACACAGGTCTTGCTCAAGGATATCCAAGATGGCTTCACTAAGGGAAGTCTTGCACAACTAAACTATTAGAATTTGTTGAAGATATTAATAAAGATGCGGATAAGGACAAGATGTTATCTACTTAGACTTTCAAAGTTTATGATAAAGTTTATCATCAAAGACTTCCCAGCAGGCTTAAACAGGAAAGAAGCTAAAAAATAGAAAAGAGTAGGAGAAAACCAAATCAATTTCTTATAGTGGAGGAATGTAATTAATGTAACTAATGGAATGTCCTAGGATTAGTGCTTTTTAATATACTTATAAATAATCTGGAATGGGATATGACTAGTGAAACGGTCAGATTTAACTTGTTCGGACTAGTAAAAATAATAAGAGACTGTAAAAGAGCTCCAAAGGGATGCCTGTACATTAGAGCAGTGGGCATCAAAATAGCAGAGATCTTTCAATAGGAGTAAATGTAAAGTGATGTACATTGAAGCCAAAAATTCTAACTACTTGTATAGACTAAGAGGATCAGAGCTAGCAGTGAATAATGAGTAAGAGATCTTGAAGCAATGGTAAATAATTCAATGAAGATGTTAACACAGCATGCATCTGTTGTAAAAAAAAAAAAAGTCAACAGCATTTTAGAAATAATATATTGAAAATAGAGATACCAATATTATTATGCCCTTCTGTAAATCAATTGTGTAATCACTCCTGCAATATTGTGTGTAGTTCTGTTCACTGCACCTGAAAAGTATATAATGAAGCTAGAGAAGGTTCAGAGGAGAAAAACTAAGACAATCAAGGGATTGCTTTCCTATGAAGAAAAGTTGTAAAATTTGGAATTTTTTAATCTAGAAATGAAGCAAATGAGAAGGGGTATGATTGAAGTGTATACAATTTTGCACTGTGTAGATAAAGTAGACAAAGAAAAGCTATTTTCTCATTACCGAAATACTAGAACCAGAAATTGCCCAAAGTTGCCTGGAAAAATCAGAACACCTTTTTTTTCTTCTTCTTTCTATTTTCTTCCAGTGCAGAATATCATGTCACCTATACCTTCTGATAATTTCTATCTACATCCAAAGAATGATCCTGATTACTTAAAACTTTATTTTAATAGTTTTTGCTACCTCAAGCTAGTCTCATGGCTTTTATCATGAAAAGTAAATACTGTATAAGGCTACAAACAAAGAGAAAACTGTCAAGCTTCATTTAAGGTAGTCCAGTCATTTCTATATTCTTCCCTGGTACTAAGTCTTAATGATTTAAATCACTGCAGTATAATGGTGCAGAAATGTTTAAAAAGTACAGCAATCTAGAAAATGCCTTTCTATCCCCAATGGCTGAAAAACTATTTTATAGACAAAGAGATTCTAATAATAGGTATCACAATTATTTTTTCAGGCCACCAAGAAAGACGGTCAAAACCGAACACATTATCAATGAGTGGCAATAGAAAAGGCCTACTGAATAAGTGCTCCCTTAGAAAGTGAGAAGACAAATTCTCAAGAGGTACAAAATCTTCCCCCTTGGAGTAAGCATCACCACATCTATAATGAGTGTAATGAGAACAATAATAGTGCCCTACACCAGAAGTCCCCAACCTTGGCCACTTTATGACTTGTGGACTTCAACTCCCAGAATTCCATGCTGGCTGAGGAATTCTGGGAGTTGAAGCCCACATGTCATAAAGTGGCCAAGGTTGGGGGCCCCTGCATTGCACCATGAGATCATGGCAATAAAAAAGCAGGCCTATAATATTAGCATAGCAAAAATACTTTTCAATCGCTAAAAGGTTTTACAGAATTATTAATGCTTTTTAAAGCTACACTAAGAAAGCTCATATTTTCAGGTATACATCTGAAGTAGAATTTTAAACATTCTCATGGCCTATTAAGTTTAATAGTTTAATGGTACCCACATTTTTGCTGTCCCTTACCTGAACAGCTGGCTGCTTATTTTCATTGCTGGTAGGAGAAGTCAGCCCTGTTGCCTGCTGCAGAAGGAATTGCCTTGCCACCTGAAGAGCCTTGATAAAAATAAATAGAATAAAGAGGAAAAAAGTTACATTTTCTTTCCAGTTTTCTTCAAAAACAATAAACTCTGAACTACAATAACAATGTACATTTTTAAGTTATCAGAACAGGGAAGTGTTCCTAAAAATCTGTATCATCGATAAAAGTATAGACTTAATTAAAATAGCATGATTCCTACATAGTGAGGCAGTTTTATTAGTATTCTTCTATGTAAATTCCTAGGGCTGACTGAATAATCTGGCAATTTCAAATGCTGCATAATGGAACTGAATGGAAATAGACTAGATTGGCAAACCCAGTGGGAATACCCTGAAACATCCAACAAACAAATCAACAAACCTAACGTACATACATGATGTTAAATGCGGGGAGGGGACCTCCATAGATTTTCCTCATCTGCAGATTGGATTCCATTGATGCCTTCTTTCTATGCACCCTATTTCCTGTTCAAATCCCACTCAGGGGTAAATATTACATAAATGCTTATGATTTCAGCTGGTTTCAAAGTAAAAAAGACAATGCAATCAGATTAGGAACTGGCATTCTTAAATAAACCAATAATTTATATTTCTTAAGGGAAGATCAGAAAAGGGCTTTCCTTTCACTTATGCGCTGCTTTCCTTCACACCGTATATATATCCATACCTTTCCCAATACAATGCATTGCTTAGAATAGTTCATTTTTGATGCAAAATATGTATTAGGATAAAAGTTAAAATTATAACTGTGGATTTATTTCTTAAAATGATACATAATTGTGGATAGAATGGCATGCAATTCATCAATTCCTTCTTCAGACCATTAATATCTTAGAAGAAGAGTTGGGCTTCATGTTGATGTTTCCCAATATATGTTGTACGTATGCATATGACATTTGACCTAAGACCCATGTGAATTTGGGCACAGTTTTCCTTATTGTTACTTTTAAAACTGTTTCAGTAAAAAGGGCATTGCTAAAAATGCAGAAAGAATCAGAAATGTGCAACTGCATACTAGGAGGGGCTATATTATATTTTAGATACATATTGTACTTTGACTGTAGCTTAGATAAGGGTGATTTAGTATCTATACACATTCAAAATATTTCTCTTTATCTCTATTCTATATATAAAGGGCTTAAAGCTATCTGTAAATAATTTTCTACAGTAAATTGATAACATGCAACTAGAAGAAAGTGTTGATTACCAAAATGAAAGCAGCTTTTAACTTAACAAGTTCTCATTAAAACCAATTCTGGCCCTCCATCTGATGAGAGAGCAGTTTCAAGAAAAGTCTCCATTTCTTGTGTATAGTTATTTAGTGGGCAGATACCCACAACTACAAGAAAACTTTACTCAGTTTAAATTCTAGTTACCATCCCATCTCAATTTTTATGTGGTTTGGCAAACCAGTGAGCTCTCAAATCAGATATTCTGGACAAAAAAAGTCTGTCCAGTTCTAAAATTCAAGGAACTTGAAGTTAAACTCTCTCACACACATCCATAAAATAATTACAAGAAATATTGCCTTTTCTTAGTGTGGGCCTGGATAAAGTTAATACCCTCCAGCCAGTACGAAACACTATGCTGGCTAAGAAAAGTGGAGATTATTATCTATTATATTAAGAAAACAATGGTAAACCACTCCTCTGTCATTATCCAAAAAGAAAAAAAAATAACAGGATCTATCTATGTAGTCAACCAAAAGTTCAATATGTTACTACTTGGTCTAACAGAAGATCACCTTTCTTAGACCAAGGTGTGAGAATGAGTGAATGAAATGAGCCAAATATATTCTCTTAATTTCTCATTTTGTATACATGAATCAACTTGTGCCCTATCAAATGTTCAGCTTCAAAATGGAACATATTCTGGAGCCTGAGAGACACAAGATGTTCAGAAAGGCAGTATGACTGGTTCTCAGTTGTTAACAGCATAATCCTGATAGCCACTCAGAAGGAAAAAAAGAATAGGAAAAGGTGTGCACAACGCAGGGAACTTGTGAAAGAATACAAGCATTTAAAAGTGTGCTCTGGTGTTTCAGACTAGAGGGGCTGTCCCCAGGAGGAGGAGGAGAGCATACCGAGAAGAGGAGTTCCATTCAGGAGCCAACAGCAGAGGACTGCAAGCAGAGAATCAATTCTAGCACAAACAAGCCTGCTCCCAAAGCCCCATTTCCTCATACATTCCTTATTTTTGCTTTGAAAAGAATTTCATGAAAAAAAATTGGTACATTTCTGAACAACAAAGTCATTGTAGCCCTGCCTGCAAGACAGGTTTTTATTACAGCACAGAGACAAGAGGGGGGAGCACAGGGTAGAGGTCGGCGGGTCATAGCCCAGCTTGGCGGTGCTGCAAACAGCATGTGGGTTCCACTGAGCTGTCAACACTGCAGCCGTAAATCAAGGCTCTGGCTTCCAAAGGCCGGCTGTGCTCTCCCCCCCCCTCAACAGAGGCACTTGCAGGGTGTGTCCCACAGAAAGAGTCGCTTGTTAATTTTCCACATTTCTAGCCATAAAGAACAAAGTTACTTTCCGTCAGGCATTTAAAATCCTGCATACTGTACCGTACTTTCTCTGTTTGCAGGAACAGCTGATTTTCTACACAAACTATCACTTACGCAGTTTAACTGCACATAAATACAAGAGAGATATTGCATTATACTATCGAAAAATAGAACCATCTGAGTTGCAGGGAAGATACACAAATATGAACCATATCATTTTAGAAACACATAGCAGAAATATATCTACGTACATAAAGTTGCATACAGAGCACACTTTGGAGTTTATGTTTATATATATATATATATATATATATATATATATATATATATATATATATTCTATCTCTGAACACAGCAACTTAACGTTTCTAAAATTAATTTCATGATTGTATAGGAATATAATTTTAAAAGTTTACCAATTAAGATGTTAAATTTCAGGATATTTACATATTTACACATATGTAAAAAGCATGTATGGATTTTGATTTTAAATATGCTCTAAATAGCAAATAGTTAATACTATTTATGTTAAGTGGACTAATTCATATTTTAAGCAAATTTATTGAAAAGCAAATCTTCCACAAAGTACCCTTAAAATTCCAAGTTATGGAATTTTATTATTCTTAGAATGGTTTCTTAGGAAAATCAGGTGTTTCATTAAAACTATGCTAAATACTAAATAGAATAATGTTGCTGTTACACATTTAAAGGAGTTGAATGATTAAAAAGTAAGTTTACTGATATTTCCCTTGTTTGCACAAAAGCCTATAAAAGCTGTCCATAGCAATCAATTTCTAACCCCATTCCCTGCATACAGTAATTGTAGATGCTGTATCAAAAATCTAGAACATAACTGTCACTTTAAAGTAACTTTAAAATCATGTTTATAAAATATACAGAACCAGTAAAGCCAAAAGTCACATCCAGTTTGAGGCTTTCAACAAATATGAAAAATATCACAGACTAAATGCCAATACATTTAAGTCCCTGAATCTAAAATACTGTTTTTCTTTTCCTTTCCCCCAAGTTAATAATTATATTGTATTATAAAATACAGATAATACTTTACAGAATATAGATAGTAACTGAATACAGTGGTATTTACACAATAAAAACTAAAAATTATTAATATTGTGATGATATAGATAAATTAAACTTTTAAAAATGAGAAAAAAACTTTATTAACAAAGTTAACCATGATTTCTAAAATGTAATGAACTTAAGGTCGATTAACTGTATAATTAAACAACTGCAAAATGTGATTATTTTACAATACAAGAAAGGTTTTGATTTGTGAATTTAATACTAAAGTCTCCACTATATTGTTAGCTGTTATTATTTATAATGTTAGAAGAAAGAAAAAATGAAAAACAGAAAAGAAAATCTCAACAGTCTATTCCTGGCCATGGGGAAGGGGAGAAACAAGTGTAAATGGCTGAATAAATCAGGGAGACTGAGATTGCCATTTTATGAATGAAATTTAAAATTATTTTTTTTCTACTATTACATAGATGCAAGACAAAATAAGAACAATAAAAAGAAATCCCCCATTCAAAATTCAACAGTCTGAAGTTTCAGTTGCACCACCTGGCTTTCAAACAACTGTGGCAATTGTTCATAGAGTATTTTTATGCATTATAACTGTATCCTAAACAGCTTGTTTTTCTTTTAACAGCCTGTTGAAGTAACTTTTGCCAAATGCTTGTTTTCCTTTGCTTAAGGAAGGCAAGTCAATTCAAAACAGTTGGATTTCATTCATGATAGATTGTAGTGACCTGTCTTGGATTCATACAGGTTTGTGACACTGTTGACTAAACCAGACCCTCTTAAAATATTATTGCCCTAATGCAATAACTTTAAGGATCACTATAAAATGCATCAGGCACACTGCCAAAGAAAAAAAGATTCTGCAAAAGGAGGTGCTTTTACTTTTTAACAAGAATAGTGATGGACCAAATAAACTGAATTCTTATTTGTCAAACTCTTCCATAGAAATAACCCAATCTTTAATACCTTCCATGGGTGCTTTTCATTTCCTGAATTCATTTACCAAAGTTTAAAACAAATTCTAAGCAAGTCTAGGACACAGCACAAATGCCATACTGATTGGAAAGTTGGCTTGCCAGCAGAAATTGTGATGCTGCAACCAGCTGTATAAAATCTCCAAAAGGCCCTATTTTAATTGCATTAGCCACCCAATGGGATCATTGTTCACCAGGGGACAGCAGGGACTGCCCCCTGTTTTATGGGCTTTGGGAACCCTGTAAAAGACAGTGTGAGTTTATTAAGTTGGTTGTGGCTTGTGCAACAAGAATACAACTTGTGATGAGTGCCAGAACATGTCAAGAGGGCACCAAGCCAGGCTGGTACACAGGAGGCAGCATAAGGCCTGGTGCTTGATTGTGAGGATGCACAGCATGGTGCACAAGAGCCAAGAGAACTGTGAACAGAATGGAGAGGCCCATCCCTTAGGAGCAATCGTGGGGGAATTTAATTCACTCCCTGCTGA